CATGCTAATTTACTGTGAAATTTTAGTAAATTGCAGCCGAAATCGGAAATATCTATGAGGGAAAGTTTATGAATCGGTTTAATTACATTTTGTTGAGTCATGATAATATAATTGTGAATTTTTATGTAGTCATGCTGCTTTCACTGAATAATTGCTAAATTTTTATAGCCGTTTCCAAAATTGCCTCAAATGATTTAGTATAACATTCTCAACTCTTACCATCCATATGGAATTCATACGGTTTGCTTTAAATTGCTTTTAATTAATTTTTCTACTACCTAAACATTTTTCGGAATCCAAAGACGTGTCTAAAATGAAATTCGCCTAGAAGTTTTTTTACGGCACGATCTTTTTTCGTTTTCCAGTCCATAGGCAACTCCTCGTTTGCTATTCCTGGTATATTTTTAGAATCCGCACTAATATTTATCGTAGCATTCCAATGGAATAATGTGAATGACATATCGTGTGCTTTTGCTGTCCTTTTTATGCTGTGCTTACTGCGATACGGCAATTTTCCTTCGAGAATCCAGGTGTATTTTTGTTATCTCTAAACGACAAATTCCAAATGCATATTGGAGATACAGGGGATTAGTTCCGTCATTCGATTCAATACATTTTACGTTTCGATGGTTGCTAATTTTTCAAAGGGAAACAAAAGTATCTCATTTTCTAACATAAATAAAATAAGATAAAATAAATAAAATTAATTTCAGACTAAACTAAGTTTTATTATGGGTTAAATTAAGTTTTATGACTAAAATTGTTAATGTGCGTCAAAATTATTGCAGAGCTCTGCCTGTTTTATAAGGGCAAAATTGCGAAGATTTCTGCAATACAAGTACCACTATCTATTTTTATATAAATTCCATTTATTTATTTGAAGAAAATTTTAATTCGTTGCGGTAGAAATTCGCTCCTCGCCTCCTCGCTGACTCAATGTCGGAACCTATTTTTGCTGCAAAAAACGATATTTTATCATATTTTTAACAGTCTAGAACTCACAAGAAAGCTTGACGATTGGAGCAGTAGTAAAGTAAAATTATTCTTCATTTAAGCAGTTGAAAATTAATTTTTCTAGTCCGGTTTTATGCAAAGTGTGGTGCAATCCAAATAGCGACAATTAACATAAGTTAGTTGTAAATATGGTTGTAGGGCGGATATTTTTCACGCATTTAGTTAAAAAAAATCTAAAACTGTAATAGTCAAATACTTATAGGAAGTGGAAAATAATTTTTAAACTTAAAAAATATATAAAATATCAGTTTACTTAAAATTCGTGAGCTCTGGCGATTTACTTTTTAAATTATGGGAAAGGTCGATTTTCTACAGCAAAATATGAGTAACAATGAACTCTAGGTGGGCGTATAAAAACTTCGTTCTTTTGTCAAAAATTACTTAAAATAATTAACATGCATTTTCAACTACTGGTCTTCAACTTCTATGTTTGGGTGAAAAGGGTGACATCCGAGAACCCTACCCAAAGTCAGAGTAATACCTACTGGCGATAGAATAATTTTTTGTCAAATCACAGATTTGTAATGGTAAATCTCTGTAAGTTATTTCAATTGAAAACGCCAAGTCTCAAATAGCAAAATGTATTACGTTTATAAAGCATTTTCAAAAAACTATTTTCGTACACGGAACGACAATGAAATGGGATTTCAAGATATGAAAAGGAAGCTGAAATCGGTTTAGCTATTCAAGAGCTACAACTGATAGATTTCAAACGAATTTTCCGAACGAAGGTATTCATTTCCTGCTTTGGATATTCCGATATCTGATAAGTTGAGGCAACAAAATTCATTCATCAATTCTAAAACAATTTCCTTGGTTATGAAAGATGAAGAAAGCTGAGCAAGGAAAACTCATAATAATAGTGCGAAGGACAGCATATTTCTTGTAAATTACATTAGATACATTAAGGCGCGATTTTCTGTTGGTTTCGGTTATTCGTTTTTTTCTGGGTCTTTGCTTATGGCTAATCCACAACAATTTATCCTCCGTTTTCAAAGTCGGTTTCCACGGGCGATATTTCATTCTATATTGAAAGGGTTTTAAAGAGTAATCCGGCATAAATCTTAATTGTTTTTTTGCTGAAATTTGATGAAGTGGTTTTTATTATTTGGGAATTAATCGAAGTATCCCGCTAATTTTTGGTGATGGTATTAAACGTGAAAATGGTTGTGAAATTATTATGAATTCTCGCACCACCAAAACAATAACATTTCAGTGTATATGTATAATCATGGCTAAATTTAACCTGTAGAAATTATATCAATATTTGCGATACTAGTTAACACTTGGCACTAAACTCTAAGCATTAAACTCAGTTTGTAATTATGGAAATTTTATTCTAAATATTGTTGAATAATTAGGGTAAAGCCTCTACCGGCATTGTTTTGCTTAATATTAGCGCCTGAATTCTGATGGCAGCAATCCTATTAGATGGAATTTTTTATGGATTTAAATTTGATTGAATGAAATATTTATACGATTATTTTTATCCCTTTTTTCTGATTGTATTTCGTGTATATGATTGAAATGTGACTTATATGTCTATATTATCTTGCATGTTGACATATGAGGAAAAATGAGGTTAAATAATGTAATTATCTTCGGTCTGAGATAAAACCCTGATGAAATTGTATATCTAAGATGTAAAATAAAATTGATTTTCCATCCTATTTTCTAGCAACACTAAAGTGGAGCCCGCGAGAACCGCATTTAAATATTTTTAAAATGACTGCCGCGATAAATAGCTGCGGAAGTTGTGACAAGTGGTACAATTTAGACTTTTAAAATTTGAATCTTTCTCCAGAGAACAACTTGGCAAGTGTTCTTTGTTAAGTCTTAATATATAAAAGAATTATGAGAATTTTTACGGGCAGCTAGTTTTTGCTATGAAAGCTCCTGTGGTTGGGCGAGAGCAAAAGTCTGAAATTTCGATAAGGACTGACTGCACTATTTCCAACAGCATAAGTAATTTTTCGCTTTCCCATGAGAAGTAGCAAACTGACAAGACAGAAGAAAGCACTTAAGAGTAGTTAGACGAGTAGACTAGTCTACTTGCTTTTCGTGCAAGTGATGTTTTTGTTATACTTCAAAGAGCATTTAATTCGAAATTTACCTCTATAGCACCATAAATTTGGTAAATTGTGATTCTATGGAAGTTTCCGGAAGAAAAATTCAGTATGTTATTGTCAAGATTACCCGTCCAACGCATGAATGACAAAGCCTTTCAGTGCGATCTCGTTGCATTGTTTTCAATTAATTTTTGTTTCCAAAAATGTCAGGCAATAAGTAAACGTTATTTAGCCAATTTATTATTTGAGAGTGAGGAATTCCGATTGAACATTCTGTGTTCGGTTTTAAATCCACATTTGTGCTACTTTATGTTTAGGTCTGATTTGTATTTGTTCCTTTGGAGGTCATTCATGATTGGATACATATATTGTTTATATATTGATATATGATATATATATATATATATATATATATATATGGATATCTAGATTCTAGATTTATATTATTTATATTATAAGATATCTAGATTTAAGGGCATGCTGTGAATGAATATGTTTTCATTATTTTAGGTAGTAAACCAAATATCTTAATCGTTCAATTTGTCTGCTAAAATTGGGAGATTTATTCTGGTGAAGCACACGAAATTAACATAACATGTCCTACTTTGGACAAACATGTGAATCATTTTCAAAAAATACTATTCAATTTCATGTTGCTATTAAAACAGAAACATATTTTGCTGAAATTAGAGATATCTAAAAGCACGTCAGCGAAAGTTCTTGCAAAACTTATCGAACATTTCAATTATTGTGTTGCCGTCCACAGGATGTGTATTTATGTTTGATACATCCGCTGAATAATCAACAAATTAGCATTAAATTTCAATTGAATACTTGTTATACTTTTTAAAATAGGTATATGGATCATGTTATTTAAATACTTGATGTGGCGCGTTTAAAAATATAAATTTAGTTTTTTTTTGCAAAACTAGTTAACTGATACTAACACTCATCGTGTGGTAAATAAGCATATAAAAGCAAAATTGGACAGTGAGTATAAATTTTAACTTTAAACACCTTGTTTACGATACCCCATTTATAGGCAATTTAATACATACGCATTTCCAGAATTTAATCTCTATTAATGACGACATATAAAACTAGAGCTTCATTTGTGCTAATCCGAGAATGAACGTTATATGGATAGCCCCACACTGCACATTCCATCTAACAATGATTATCCTTTTAACTGATTCCAAACGGATTTACGTGAACTTTACAAAACTCAAATGAAAATTCAAGATGTAAAATGTCGCATTCCAATAACTATCAGAAACGTTTACGGTAGATACGGAAAAGAAATCTGTCTTCTTTGGCAAGAAGCTACATCGCTACTTATAATCCAGCCGATTTTCGCTTCATTTAACCTTGCTCGTTGGATAAGATGTCGCTGAGAGCTATAGATATCAAAAGACTTATTTTTGCCGGCAAAGCAACTGTCGCTTTGTTATATTCGATTTCAGATTTTTGAAGAGCAATTATGGTATTAAAGTCAATTTGGGTAACTTGGTAAACTTTAAACATCACTATAAATATAGACCAGCGATTGTTGCGTTTTTCGCAGCTTTTACATCCCAGCCTAATGAAGATGCTACCAGCGTAATGTTAAAGGCAAATTGATACATATTTCCATGAAATATACTGCTAAAATTACTGCTCTCAATTTTATTAACTTAATAAAGCACCGCAAATTGCTTACACTTAGGAATAATAACGCTACTTTAAATAAATGGCAGTAAGCAAACCGTTTACACTTTATAGCCGCATTATTGCCGTATAACAAGGTAAATTTATCTCAAAAAATAAAAATTGGGTACATTTTCTGACGGTTTCTATTAATCATTTTGCCTCAACATTTGCCCAGTTACTACTAATATTAATTACGATTGCCGATTAATACGATAGCGACATACGTACTTGAAAAAGTATGTGTTGTTCTTGAAGCCGAAGAATGGAACAGTATAAGTAAGCATCCATATGTTACCACCGCCACAATCGTAGTAGGGCTTCGACCACTTGCCATCTTCATATCTAACAGCCAAAATTTCTTCAGGAATTCGCATATCGTGAGCTGTTCCATTAAATCGATAAGTTGTGTAACCTGAAACAAAAAAATGTTTGTTTATCTCAACTTCCATCAAAGTACTTATTTGTTTTAGACTCATTAGCTTCGTTTAGATTACTTTTTATTCAAATATAGCTTGATCTATTTATTTATTAAAATATACATATAACAATTTCCAATCGTTGTAATCCCATGTGCTATAACGAAGGAAAGTACTAATTTATCAATCAGTGCTAAGTAAAACAATATTAAGCATTGATAAAGATATAAATCTAAGATAACAATTAAAATATAAATAGTCCATCGGTTTTGGCATCTTAATGTTTCACTGAAACATTGATTGATTTTACAAAATCAGCAATCAAGCAAGAAAATTCGATTTTCGTACTACGAATTTCATAAGGTGAATAGTCAGTTCGAACATAGACACATCCGTTAATTCAATAACAAAATTAGCAAAGCGAACATTTTCAAAAAGGAGGAGTAATTGTTGTTTATGGAAAATTTTAATACTTCTCTGAAATTTGTATGTACTATTAAGGTCTCTTTAGCTCACACTCACACTAAGGGTGTTCTTTCTTCGTTTTACAAAAAAAAAACTAAAATAAAGATCAACGATTTAATAGAATTAAACACTAGGAAATTAGGCAGTAAATTATCAAAATATCTGTCTATTAAATATGTACTTAAAAATGTGCAAACTCTAATTAAAACTGACAAAGCAACCGAGGGTCAAAATATATAATTTGGGCGTCATGGAATAAATACCGACATGGCGGTATTTTCATTTTATGCAGCCCGACTGCAATTAAAACACGCCTCATTTAGTTTTTACTGTCTAATTATTTTTCAGGTTTTGTGTGTTGCAAAGATACCATGCCGACCAATTTTTGTCCAGGCCATTATTATTCCGGTGCGTAAATCGTTTTGCACTAATCCAGATTTTTTATTGGTGGATGTATTGCACCATTCAACGTAAACTGACCCTATTATCACTTTAACTTTTAATCTGCGGTCGCTTTTCCAGTCAAATTTCATGGATAAAATCTGCTAAGACGTTGCCTTTCAGCACTTAAAGTTTTAGGCATGAACACTGTGACTCCTTTAACCCGGATAGCCTCTTTGAAATTGAATTTGAACGAAATTAACATTTCTCGATTTTAGTGGGAATTTATTTATAATGAACGCATAGATTAATTCCATACATATTTGAGCCTGAAATAGTCGCCGTTTTTATATTTGCATATATTGTGGTCAAGTAATCATTCTACAAACTCGTATAAACTAACTTTCGGTTTCCATTTATATACAAATACCTGATAAGCAATTGAGTTTAAAATTGAAACGATGGGCAAGCACGTGAACCTCGAGTGACGTCACGAGACATTATTTCGATCAATCTGCATGTGGGCTGTGTGGTAAATGTTGTGTTTACTGTGTTGCTTAATCGAACTTCGTCGCTTGTCCAATCTAGTCTCCTCAATTGCTCTCGAGGCAAGTAGTTGTAAATCACGAAAATTATTTACATGTGTGGCATTGTATCTGCTTTTTTAACTTTAATTATTAAATAGTTTCAGCCAGAAAGAAAAGTTACCGTTGTTAAACTGCTCAAAACGTTTTATGGTAATAGAAATCGTATCCTTCCTTCTAGGTGTTTTGCGTAAAATCCGTTCAATTTGGGTCGGTTTAAGTAAACGAAAAGTAACTTAAAACCTTTAATTATAGAGACATAAAAGTAAAACGTATTTTGAAAGCATGCACTTCATTGGTTCGTATAGATTCGCATCTACGCTAAATATTTCATAATTTCAACGTATGTTTTATGAAAAATATTAATGGATTTAAGTGTATGGGCGGACGATCGAAGATTTTATTGGACTCAAACTGTTTAATATCATCAGTTATTCCGGAGGGTATCACCGTCACCAGAGGTTGATGAATTCGTTCATTATGTACAGTTTTGGGTCTCAACTATGCAGCTATTGCTGTCGTTGATTGGGTATTATTTAAAAGTAAATCACATCAATCTATATTTTGATGTGTTAAAAGTTTCTTCACAAGTAACGGCTGGGCTTTGAAAAACATGCTTCCTCCGTTTAAGACGGAAGAGATGGATTCTTACTGTAATTGAGTGAAACCCTTTTCAGATATTTTCCTTGATAATTTGCCGAAATGCAACCATGCATATACTAGCACACAATCCCCAACAAAAAGCAACAAAGTTGAAAAAGTGCACAATTCCAGAATGTTCATCATGATTAACGTTTTTAATTGTTTAACTCGGATTGTTTTGCTCAGTTAGCTTTTTCGCTATGAATTGTTGAATGGCTATGAAAGTTGAATGAATAATTCGAAAAAGCTTATTGTTCGATGCCGATTTGTGTGCTGTCAGTTACAGAAATCGTTTCAAATTAACTGTTGCGGTGCGGTAAATCCTTTATGCTTGACTAAGAGGCACATTCTATGAATAGTTTAACCATATTAAATGCTTAACGGCCCTTAAAGACGCCACGTGTATCTGGTAATGAAGCGTCGATTTGGAATGTCAATTTGTCGCTCTAAAGACATAGATTATCGACCGTGAAACGACCAATTGTAAATTTTCGAAAATTATCTTGGGATAGATATCGTTTACAACCTCCAGGGACAGTTAGCTGATAGTATTCACATTTAAGATTCAGCTGAATATACTAAATAACTCAGACTTAAATGAGCGTCGCTTCAAATATTACTGGCAGTTTCCAAACTGAATTTATTAATTTACAATTATGTTTCTTTTGACTTTCGCGCTTTGCTTACCTACTTCTTAGAATCTTATTTACATTTAAATCACGAAAATAAATTACAGTACTACGGGACGACCCAATTAAAACATCCAAGAGCTAATTATTTATTTTCGTCATGGCAAAAATCTTATTTGCTGGTGTAATACAACGAAGATTATTTGCTTTATTTTGTGGCGCTCTAATTATGTTAAAAAGCCAAACTTTGCTGTCTAGATGTTCTTAAAGCTATGGACATAGTCAGATTGAATTGTACATCTGTTTTAAATACATAGAGCTGATGTAATTAATTTGATGACTACCTAAGTCTTTAGATGACATCGGTTGAAAGTTCGAAATGGAATAATCAATTTATAAAGTGAGATCGTCTGCTAGTTAAATTTCCTTAAATACGGCCAAATGTTACCCAATCAATATTTAATTTTAGTTGATTATGAAACTTTCTAGCAATTGACATTTTTATTGGCGATCAAAAATATTTTGCAGCTCAGTCAGACTGAGAACTGATCGTTTTTAATCAACTTGGTCAAATTGGTCAAACTGGTCACCGGTATATCCCGGGTATCAATTTCAAAACTTTCTATTCTTAATAGCTTTCTTGCAGTTAAAAATATGAAAAATCGGAGACACATCAATTGCATTTGTAAGGGGGACACTGTTAATGAATATTTTTAGCTTTTTTGTTTCAATCCGGTAGAAATAGGTAGACCTTTAGAATCTTAAATAGGATGGGAGTGAAGTGGCAGATCGTTTTAAAGGGCGTTCGATTCTCTTTACACTAGGTACTACTTTGTTGCTTGTGGTACAAATGTTTCCGAACAATCGAGTTTTAAAGTTGCAGAAACAATTAAGCTTGTTTGCATTCCGATTTTTTTGTTTTCAGGTTATTATTTACACACAAGTTTGTGTTTTGTTTGTGGCGTTTACTAAGTTGTGTACAAAATACGAGATATTCTCGGATAGCGGGATTGGCAGATGGAGACCAATTGAATGCTCTCCAATATCACCGGATATAACACCCTTAGACTTCTTTCTTTGGGGATATCTTAAATCCATTGTTTATAAAACACAACCTGCTGATTTTAATATCTTAAAAGGCGAATTGCAGGCAGAGTGCCGGTCAATTACCGGTGAAGTTTCCGAAATGTTAGGAAGGAGTTTGAAAATAGACTTTATTATTGTTTACAGGAAAATCTGAAATCTGATCTGAAATTTGTGTTCCACAAATAAAAAGTTATTTTTCTCGAAGTAAAATAATCAATAAATCAGAAATCAATTGTTTAAACTAGATTTTTTTTCGTGTTATTTAACGATTTAAACGATGTAACCATATCTTTTAATAATTTGTACTACAAGGAGACCATAATAATGCCATTATTTTTGTTTGAACACTAACCTGGAAACCAAAATCTCAATTCAGGCGAGTTTATTTGTTTCTGCAACGTTGAAGCGCGATTATTCGTAGACCTCTGGACAAAAAGCAAACAAAGTAGTAACGAATGTATTCCCATTTAAAATTTTAAAGGTGACTCCAACTAGGGGGTTGAATCAAGAAAGTTAAAAATTTTAATATAAAGTGTCCCTCTGAGAAATAAAATTGACGTGTCTCCAATTTTTCATATTTTTAACTTCAAGGAGGAAATTAAGGGTGAGAAGTTTTCAAATTGACAACCGGCATATATAAAATGCGTTTGGTCGGACATTAATTTTCAAAATCTTTTTTTTAAATCTATTCAGTTGTTATATTTTACATTTACTTTTTACTGTCCTGTTGATTGAAAAATCTCTGATACCAAAAGGTAAATGGGAAAAATCTAATCACTTTACTGAGTGGAATGAAGCAGAAAGTTTCAAGAATAGACACGAAGTTTTTCTCCAAAAAACTACAAAGCGAATATCTGAAATTGCTCCCAATGCTCTTAAGCAAATGGTTATAACACAGTTTAATACACATTTATTTTTTGAGTTGAGAAGTTTTGAAGACAGATAATACTTCATAAGCATGTTGTTGAAAATTTTCGTCTATTTGATAGCTGAACCAACAATTATTCACGAGAAAATGCTCCGATTTTGGGACGGCAAAGATTCTTTAATTTTCATGAATAATGTAGAAGAGAAAATCTGGTTAATATAATAAGGTAATATATCAAAATTTCAGCGTGGTTTTAAAACTGTTAACCACAACCGTGTCCCCTTAATAAATGTTAACAGACAGTGTATTATTAGATTTGCGGTTTGTTTACGAAATTTTAA